TCTGTTCTTTCAAATTTTGGAAAGGAAAAATTGAAAAGAAATAGGTCCCAAGAGAAAAGACTGAATTACAAAGTTACCCAACAGAAAGGTACAACATGAGAAGTCTGTCTCATTACGTACTCTGAGTAAATCCAATACAGAAGGACTCTCTGTTAAACAGCAAGAAGTATTTCATGTAGGTATTGATATGGAGAAATGGCAGATTGATTTTTAAATCACAAAGCTGTGTTCGTGCCAATAATCTTGTCAAAATTCAGTATAAAATAACATACAGGATTATATCCCCTCCAAACTGTATGCCACTAAAATGAGTACTACTAAAGCTTGATGGAAGGAATGCAATCACAAGGGTACCGTAGAACATACAACCTGGTACTTTTCTAAACTTTGAATTCTTTTCATGTAATATTTCTATAATATAGATATAATGTAAAAGGGATGTAGCAGTCCAGTCACCCACAGTTATTCTGGGGTTTGGCAGTCAGCGATAACATGTGCAATGTCAGAAATTGTCAAGAATTGTTGCTCTTGGCTGGTAAATACTCATAAATTCAGACCGTGAAGTGCCGCCAGTACAGCATATCACATGGTTACAAAATATAGGGCATGGAGAGGAAATGGATAAATTAACATATTCCTTTAAAAACAAAATCAAGCAGTCTTTTTCATTATGGTCTCCTTTTCTCGACTGCACTTCAGCACACCCAAAATCCCCGTGAGATTCTGAAAATGACCCTTGAGGTCACTCTAGGACAGGGGTTGGCAAACAACGGCCCACAGGCTGGATCCAGCCCGCTAGCCATTTTAAGCCCGCTGGGTCAGGGCCGCACCGCGCAGCTCAGCCCCACTCTGGCGCTCCAGCCGGGGCGCTGTGTCGGGGCTGCACCATGCTTGAGGTAAGCACCGCTTGGAGCCTGCACCCCTGAGCCTCTCCCCGTGCCCCAACCCCCTGCCCCAGCCCTGATCCCCCTCCTGCTCTCCAAACCCCTCGATCCCAGCCCAGAGCACCCTCCTGCACCCCAAACCTCTCATCCCCAGCCCCACCCCAGAGCCCACACCCCCAGCCAGAACCTGCACCCCTTCCTGCACCCCTTCCTACACCCCAGCCCCAGCCCTGATCCCCCTCCCACCCTCCAAATCCCTCAGTCTCAGCCCGGAGCCCACAACCCCCTCACATACCCTAACCCCAATTTTGTGAGCATTCATGGCCTGCCATGCAGTTTCTATTCCCTGATGTGGCCCTCTGGCCAAAAAGTTTGCCCACCCCTGCTCTAGGAGGTCACTTCCTTTTATCCCCACTCCTCTGTGGCCATCCCCCTGGACACAACTGAGAAATCAAATTTTATATAAACCTGGGCTAGGATAATTATTTGTTCTTTCTCTGTTGTTGGTTTTTTGTTTGTTTAAATCTGCTGATCGGTGTGGTTTGAAAAGTTTATTGTACAAATTACAGCATATGGAAGCTAATTATTTCAGCATTTGGTATAGGTTTCAAAGAAGAGATTATTGGGGAGACATTATTGATTCAATATGCCCAAAATGTATTCTGACCTCTCACTTCTCCTTATCATAAAAGTACATACTTAAACTGTTCTGTAATGAGTAAGATAGTTTCTGATTGCTCAGAGCCAACAATGAACCTAACCTAAAGCAGTCAGCATGCAGATCTATAATGATTCACTGAGCACAAACATTCATTAGAAATAATCATTAAATCTACACATTTATTATACAGTAGGAACCCAGTGTAACAATATATTGTCAAAAAATTAATGTCTCTGGCTGTGAGAATGAATATCTTGGCTTTGTCTCCTTATTTATGCAGCAGCAAGAGACTATTCTTTTGTAAGAATGTTCTGTTCCGTTGACATTCTCACATAACTCGGCCAACCGATTCAAGGCCTCTACAATAGCCACTACTAGAATTATAACCCCTTCATTAGTTATCACCGCTGACCCAATAAGGTATTACATTCAGCACCAGAGTAATAGCTGTTAAATATTTTTGAAAATGTATATAGATGTAATATACTTCCCTAATTACTAGGGCTGTCAAGCAATTAAAAAAATTAATTGTGATTAATCGCACTGTTAAACAATAATAGAACAGCATTTATTTAAATATTTTTGGATGTTTTTCTACGTTTTCAAATATATTGATTTTAATTACAACACAGAACACAAAGTGTACAGTGTTCACTTTATATTTATTTTTGATTACAAATATTTGTGCTATAAAAACAAAAGAAATCGTATTTTTTCAATTCGCCTCATACAAGTACTGTAATACAATCTCTTTATCATGAAAGTTGAACTTACAAATATAGAATTATGTACAAAAAATAACTGCATGCAAAAATAAAACAATGTCAAACTTTCGAGCCTACAAGTCCACTCAGTTCTCCTCCTTGTTCCGTCAATTACTCAGACAAACAAGTTTGTTTACATTTGCTGGAGACAATGCTATTCACTTCTTGTTTACAATGTCACCTGGAAGTGAGAACAGGTGTTCACATGGCACTGTTGTAGCTGGCGTCGCAAGATATTTACGTGCCAGATGCACGTAAAGATTTATATGTCCCTTCATGCTTCAACCACCCTCCCAAAGGATATGCGTCCATGCTAATGAGGGGTTGTGCTCGATAACAATCCAAAGTAGTGCAGACCGACGCATTTTCACGATGTTCACTTTCATCATCTGAGTCAGATGCCACCAGCAGAAGGTTGATTTTCTTTTTTGGTCGTTCGAGTTCTGGAGTTTTCACATCAGAGTGTTGCTCTTTTAAGACTTCTGAAGGCATGCTCCAAACCTTGTCTCTCTCAGATTTTGGAAGGCACTTCAGATTATTAAACCTTGGGTCAAGTGCTGTATCTATCTTTAGAAATCTCACTTTGGTACCTTCTTTGTGTTTTGTCAAATCTGCAGTGAAAGTGTTTTAAAAACAAACAACATGTGCTGGGTCATCTTCTGGGATTGCAGTAACATGAAATATATGACAGAATGTAGGTAAAACAGAGCAGGAGACATACTATTCTTCCCCAAGAAGTTCAGTCACAAATTTAATTAACGCATTATTTTTTTAACAAGCATCATCAGCATGGAAGTATGTCCTCTGGAATGGTGGCCAAAGTATGAAGGGGCATACGAATGTTTAGCATATCTGGCACATAAATACCTTGCAATACCGGCTACAAAAGTGCCATGCGAACACCTGTTCTCACTTTCAGGTGACATTGTAAATAAGAAGCCGGCAGCATTATCTCCTGTAAATGTAAACAAATGTGTTTGTCTTAGTGATTGGCTGAACAAGAAGTAGGACTGAGTGAACTTGTAGGCTCTAAAGTTTTACATTGTTTTGTTTTTGAGTGACATTACGTAACAAAAAACCCCCCAAAATTTGTACGTTGTGCTTTCTCGATAAAGAGATTGCATTACGGTATCGTATGAAGTGAATTGAAAAATTCTGTTTCTTTTGGGGGCTGCAGGAAGGGCAGCCAGCACATCCCTCGGCCCGTGCTATTTCCCGCAGCCCCCATTGGCCTGGAGCGGCGAACCGTGGCCAGTGGGAGCCGTGATTGGCTGAACCTGCGGACGCGGCAGGTATACAAACCAGCCTAGCCCTCCAGGGGCTTTCCCTGAATAAGCGGCAGCCCTAGTTTGAGAACCACTGGTCTATGTTGCAAGTGAAATCAATATATTTGAGAAAATGTACAAAAATATCAAAAATATTTAATACATTTCAATTGGTATTCTATTGTTTAACAGTGCAATTAAAACTGTGATTAATCACAATTAATATTTTTGTGTTAATCGCTTGAGTTAACTGTGATTAATCGACAGCCCTACTAATTATCTTTTCCAAAGTGATTTTAAGAATGTAAAAAATTGCAAATTTTATGAAAATATGGCCTATGGCATTAGCAGTACTGTATATCCTTGTAAGCTAGGGGCATCAGACACCTGGTCCATTAACAAGAGCCAGTCATCCCTTCAAAGCCCTTCTCCTGCCCCATATCATGGGCTTTAGGATACATCTATAATAACAAATGAAGCCAAAGGTTTTTATGCAAACATAAAGTCTAGCAGAAAAAGCCCCAGCTCTGGTTAATTACAACACAGCACTCTGGTCACTGGCTGCAGGGCTCTAGCTTCTCCTCTCTTCTCACTGAACAGTTTATGTAGAGCTTCTGGGTTTCTTCTGGAGGTGTCCTTGGGACGTTAGTCCCCAGTGCTGCTTTATTACACTTATAGGAGTCCTGGGCAGAGATCTTCCTCTGCCTATTGGGATTAAGGCAGAGCCTCTGATTCTACACCTTGATTCAAAGGCCACTGGAATTAATGGACAGGCTCCCATTGACTTGATTGGGCTTTGGATTAGGGCCACAGAACAGCATGATGTAAACACTAGTGTTCCATTTTGTTTCTCTCCTCAGAATGTTGGTGTAATTCCCACTAGACTAATGGGAATTGGGTGCACTCGTTACAAGGAAAATAGGTTCAGCAGTTAGTTATAGGAAGCAGTGTGTAAGTGCTACATATTATTACCTGTTAGAGGAACAGCCTCATTCTGTTTTTGTTAATCAAAGGTGGTTTTATTTTCATTAAAGAAATGAAACCTGGAGTATTTAGCATAATCCCTCGGGATGGTTTTGTTCCGTCACTAGTGCTGATACATTTTGAATATAGAACTGTTTTGTATCATAAGCAAGGTAAACATTTCCAGGTATGTTGGCTGTTAACCCTTTCACTAAAGAACTGAAGGAATCCAGATTTTATAAAGCACAGCAAAATGCTTCTGGCCTAACTGTCCTTCAGTATGAATACCATATTCTCTTGGAAACCCTTGCAATTTAACTTAACCATTATTGATGGATAGTTTTTGGTGGGGTTCTTTTGTTGTTGTTTTGGTCTCACATCTGTTTTGTAGTTACAGATGTTTCACAATGCCTTTGTAATTATGGTTATTTACAGGATACTTTCTCTGTTGGTTTGTCTGCAGGTGTTACACGGTGCTCAGTTGATAGCTGTTGCCTCTGCAGATCCTGCATCTGGGGGCGTAGATGGATCCCCACTCCAAGGGAGTGATATCCAGGTCCAATACGTCCAGCTGGCACCAGTGACAGACCACGCTGCTACTAATCAAGTACGTATTTTTTCCCATTTGAAAGTACTTAAAAAGATGCAAATGCCTGTCAGCGTAACTATGTTTCTGTCCACAAATATTCTATTCCCTTAGGGTTTAGAATACGCAATTTCTCAACTCTAAAAATGTCTCCTAAAATGAGTGCCTCCATTTATAAACAGCCTTTGACTATTCCTGGCCTTATTCCTACCTCTGAGTCCTTGCTTGAGTGCCCCTAGAGAATAGTCATTTTAGTCATCATCATTTTCCTGAATCAGTAAAAGAGGAACACCAAGCTGATAGGATAAGAGAAAGATTTTTGCCTGGAGTCATATCAGGAAAGCTTCTTTCAGCCTGAGGTTCTCAAGTCCAGTCTTCTTGAAGGGTGCCTGCCCTTCCTGCCTGTAGTTCAATCATTTTGATCTACTGCCTGGATTTCCCACATCAGCTGCAGTGTTAGCAATTATAAGCAAGCACTTGAGGCTTTGTTTTAAAATGAAGGCATTATCCTTCATGCCAACATGAATGTTCATGTAGCTGGCTGTAGAAAACTCTTGTTTTTCTCAGGAAATATAAAGATATTTGCACTTGGCAGTGATCTCAGGCCATCTGACTGCAACCCGACAGTCACTCACCAAGAGTACATGCCTAATTTTTCATCCACTCAAAGCAGTGACTGATGCTGACAGCAACAAAGTGAGGCTGGTCTCAAACAGTGTCAAATTTTCTAAGGTAGTTGCTTTACTCCCAACACTGCTCGAAGGAGCCCAGAAGGAATGCAAACTGAGCTGCCAGCCATATCATGTACAGTGTTATGACAGCAGTGCCACTAGCTGGCTCTAGAGTTAGATTTTGTCACTATTCTTATTGTAAACCCCTATTTTGTGTGGATGTCTAACCTGGCTGCAAAATGGGCAAAAAATTGCTTTATCAGCTCTCTGGGAAAGAAAATGTTGCGTTTTGTAAGTTAAGATGTTCTCCAATATTGTGTATGTGTATTGAAGGTTACCAGTTTGACCGGTGAGTTTTGGACTGTTAAGATTAAAAAATAGTTTCAGTTTACAAACCAAAGTCCTGATTTTTTGAGGGCCTCCTGAGTGTTGCAGAGCATCCTGGACTCAGATTGGAGTGAATGCAAGTTGAGGTTGTGGCAACAAAAGAGTTTTAAATGGCCTGACTTTCACATGAATTTTGAATACAGGGGTGTAATAAGCAAGGTCTGCTGTTGACAGCGTATTTTGTCATGAGTGGAAAGAAACACTTCCCAGGTGTGCTGGAAGTGTGCATATTCAGAATGATGTGCGAGAGCCATAAGCCTTGACATGTAACCTGAAGCTGGTCTATTGTGTCCAGGAGCTTTCTGGTGTTTTAATGCCACTGGAAAAAATAATAATAATAGTAATTATGCATTTTTATTTATAGATTCCCCTATGCCTGAGGGCCTCTGAATGCCAAAAGAATATAGCTAGAACTATAACTTTACAGAGAGGGACTGTATGGCCCAATAAATTATCAAACCAATGTTAGAACAAAATATTCCTGTACATTCTCTACCCATAATGTACAATAAATAAGGACAAAAATAGTGTTTTTACTAATGACCACATGGCTCTTCCAAAGCAAGGTACACTTAATCTTAGGGCAAAAGCATCACAGAGAAAATATATGAAAACAAAAGGAGGTCCCACACGCTTACTAAACATACCAGAAATTGCCCATATTCCGCATGAGGAGGCTAGTAGTACAATATCCTTTCCAAGTCTTCAGCAAGGATTGGGGTCTCCCTTTGTACAGAAGATCCCATCCGTTTGCTCACTCAAAATGAAGGCCCGGAGTCTGTTTAAACTCAGCCAAACATCTTTCTTTGTCTCTTGGTCTCTGGAAAACCAAGTTTGAACCGGTATATGCAAATCACCTCAGGGCATGGTACCTCTCTGGAGTTATTTACAGTCTTTGGTCTGGTCTACGCTACAAACCTATATCAGCATAGCTATGTCGCTCAGGGACGTGAAAAATCCACCCCCTAAGCAACGTAATTGTAGCCAGCTAACCCTCCGTGTGGACAGTGCTATGTCGGCAGGAGAGCTTCTCCTGCCAACAAACCTACTGCCTCTCAGGGAGGTGGATTAACTAACATCTTCACTGAAACACTGCAGCAGCACAGGTGCACCGATGCAGCATTTTACCTGTAGAAGTGCCCTTAGCAGCTCATCTAAGTCTGTTTTGAGTTCCTGGAGGAGCTGTGATAACCCTTCCCCATGGAGTAGAACACAATCCTACATAAATCATTCATAAATTTAAAACAACAGTCCCCAAAGATACTGCATGGGATTGCAGTGTCTTTCACAAATGTCGCAGACAATAAGCTTCTCAGTATGGGGCTCTTGCCATATTTATTTATTTAAAACCTTTAAAGTGCCATGCACACTTCTGGCTCTATCCAAGTAATAAAATACTGCTGCATCACACATTCAGAGGTGCTTGTTCATAGTAAATTGCCATTCCAGATCTGGGCCCCAGAGGGGTCCCATAAATCACTTCCCACTGAATTTGTTAGGGAGCCATTTTTTTTGTGACATTATCATCCCTCTCACCTATTAGATCTGACAGGCAGTTGGTTGTCGAGTCCAGCAGTAAACATAGGCATCTGTCTCCCACACGATTGGCAACCACAAAAGGAGTCACTTTTTTTCAGAGACACTTTGCACTGTGTTAGGTTTTTACATTGTGGCTAACCTCAGAGATTTATACCAAGTTGTAGATAAACTGAAAGGAATGTAAAACAAGAGGGGTATGGAAAGAAATGCAAAAAAGGCTAAAAATAAGTTCACGGTAAATATTTCCTAGTTTACACAGACTAAAAACTAAGGAGCTATAAATGTAAATTAGTAAAACGAACCTAATATTTGCATCACCTTAAAAAGTATGCAGATGTTCTGGTTTAACTTGGATTTAAACTTGGAGAGTGGTCAGTTTAGATGAGCTATTACCAGCAGGAGAGTGAGTTTGTGTGTGTATGGGGGTGGGGGGGGATGTGAGAAAACCTGGATTTATGCAGGAAATAGCCCGACTTGATTATGTAAAGAGTTGTCACTTTGGATGGGCTAGCACCAGCAGGAGAGTGAATTTGTGTGGGGGGGTGGAGGGTGAGAAAACCTGGATTTGTGCTGGAAATGGCCCACCTGATGATCACTTTAGATAAGCTATTACCAGCAGGACAGTGGGGTGAGGGGAGGTATTGTTTCATGATCTCTGTGTATATATAAAGTCTGCTGCAGTTTCCACGGTATACATCTGATGAAGTGAGCTGTAGCTCACGAAAGCTCATGCTCAAATAAATTGGTTAGTCTCTAAGGTGCTACAAGTACTCCTTTTCTTTTTGCGAATACAGACTAACACGGCTGTTACTCTGAAACCTGTCATTACTTATGAACTCATAAACAAATAACCAGTTTGGCTGAAATGATGGAGTGGTCCTGCATCGCTGGATATGAACTGATTGGATAAAGGCAAAAATATTAAATGCACATTTTAGCTCAGTAATGCAGCAGCAACATGTATTATTTATTTTTCCAGAAAGTTCTATGCAGAGATATTTTCGTGCTCTCAAACATTTTGAATCTGTTTCTGTATCCAAGCTTCTCAAAAGTGGCCCTCTTTGTTCTCCAGAGCCAAAATCCAGCACCCTGCACAAATTCCAAGTTCAAAACATCATATGTGAACACCTACTTCAGGTCTCAGAGTAGCAGCTGTGTTAGTCTGTATTCGCAAAAAGAAAAGGAGTACTTGTGGCACCTTAGAGACTAACCAATTTATTGGAGCATGAGCTTTTGTGAGCCACAGCTCACTTCATCGGATGCATGCTGTAGCTCACGAAAGCTTATGCTCAAATAAATTGGTTAGTCTCTAAGGTGCCACAAGTACTCCTTTTCTTTTTACTTCAGGTCTGAAAATCAGCCTCTAATTTCTCACCTTTGTGCCCTCCAAACTGTGCCTTATTGTTTTGGATGCCAGGTTGCACATGTAAAATTAGAGGCAGAAATGAGGCTCCTTTGAAATTAATCACTCCTTTGAATTGAACTGAAGCAGATACGACTGCCCTGATGTTCAATACTAATTTCAGTTTATTCAAGCATAGTTTTGTACTTGCAAGTTAATTTAAGGCACAAGTGTTAATAACTAGAAGTCTGACTAGTAATTTGTGCTCACAAATCAGGTACTTAGACATCTAACTACTAGTATGTCGGCAGTGCATTGCAGGCACAAAATTGCAACTGCATGTCCAAAGGTCGGGTTGACATCTGGCTGATATTCAGGGCCTAGAAGTAGTTTGCATACTTTCATGTCCTGATTGCATTATTTACTTATAGAAACTCTAATGATTCTTGACATATTATTAATTTGCAAGAACAAAATGTGGTAATATCACATATTATTTTTTTTCACTGAAATCTCCTGATTGGGGGTCAAATTTTGGTTAACATGGGGGGAAAACCACACAATGCAAGCTCACTTGTAAGCCCTTCAAACAGTCTCGTACTTCTGGCCTGATATCCTGAATCCTGGATATATAGTCAGTGCTTGTGGTACAGATATTTTTTCCAGGTGTTTAGGTGGTAGCTTTAAAGCTTAGCGGTTGACAAGCTGTTAGCATTATTCTCCTGATTGGCACTGTTGTATAGGACAAGTAAATAAGCAATCAAATGACTCGTAGAATTCCACAGGAGAAAAAATCGTAGCTACATGTAATTACTAGCAACAGAACACACAAAAGCAGGCAAGAATTAATTTCACAGTGAAACCTTAATTTAAGAAGAAATCTTTGACAAGTTGATCTTCACAGTATTTTTATTTGAATAAGCCACTACCATCCAGCAAAGTGTTTGGGTCGGAAAACCATTAGCTGTGTTTCACTCCTGGTTCCTCTGAAGCCCCATCCCAAGTGTTGACGCTAGTTTTTCCTTATTAGGAGAGAGAGGGCAGTAAATAGGGTGTCAAAAAGTATCTTTTCCTGTAATGGCAGTGTTGCTACTCTATTGCTTTTGCATCCCATCCTGTTCCCAGAGCATCAGCTAGCTCAAAGGTACAACTTATATGACAATCTAGGTTCGCTTTGCTTCATGCAGAATCTCAGGCACAATCCCCTGAGGCTCTCCACGTTAGCTACTCACTTGGAGGCCTCGCTTGACTGGACCAATATGTGAATAACTCCCATTCTTAACGCAAACATCTTTTTTTCTTTTTCTTTTTAAGAGTAAACTGGTTGTATGGGGTTTTGGTTTGTTTTTCTTTTAATCCTATTCATACAGGTCTATTTCCTCTCTGTAGGAGTCAAGAATTCTTGGCCTCATTCTAGAGGGAGAAAGTTAATTTCCCAGAAAACACCAGGATTATTTACAGTACTTATATTCTTATTTGACCTTGTTTATTAGGTGTGAATTGTACTTAAATGTGCCTGTCTTGTGTTGTCTGAGAACCCTTGGAGGAGTATATAAAAGGGCCCATTGTACACGGTAAAGGTGGAATGCTACTGCGCTAAAACTTATATAAACTCCCATTTCAATTCCAGTGTAGGTCTGATCCACACACAAGTTTTGGGTTGGTGTAACTATTTTGGTTAGGGGTTTGATTCTTTTTACTGAAATAGTTGTACTGATACAACCTTTAGTGTGGATGGAGTTATACCAGTATAAAGGTGCATTGTAACAGTATAGTGTATTCCCCTTTCTGTATGAGCATAAAGTACCTTCTGCCCATCTTTGGAAAAATAAACTCCTTTAATTTTGGACACATTAGGAAGATCTGGTAATTAATTGAGATTTATATGTGGCCAAAAGGAAGATAATAAAATATTTAGCATCAAAAAAGATACAGTGTTTTAACAACACTTTGCATTTTTATTAGCTTTGTGTTTTTCAAAATGCTCTACAAATGTGTACTCAGCAGTTTTCCCTATACTCCTGTGAGCCAGGTAAGTGACATGATCCCTTTCTCTCAGGTGGGGAGGATGAGACGGTGAAGCAACTGGCATAGAAGGCCACACAGCAAGTCAGTGGTGGGGCGGGGATTAAAGATCTTGAGTAATTTGCTTTTAGCATCTTCTTTAATGCACTTGCATTAAGAAGTTAATATGAAGTAAAATATTAATTCATTTTTTGTGTGTTTCTTTCCATAGAGCACAGATTCCCTTCAATCAACTATCCAGCCAGAAATGCAGATAGAACACGGAGCAATCCAGATCCAGTAAAACAGGAACTGTGGAAGCTTCATAGATCCAGATGCCAGTGACCACAGTCAGAAGCTAAAGGCTGCCGCCCACGTACAACAACAGGAGAAAGGATGTGACCACCAGACTAACAGACATTTTCATTTACGTCTCCTGTAACTATCACTGTTCTGTTGGTCTGTTTGTTTTTACACACATGGCTAGATCCTCACCTGGTGTAAATCAGTGTAGCTCTGACTTCAGTGGAACTACATCACTTTACACCAGCTGAGGAGTTGGCCCTCTAAATATACAGGTTCATCCCTTAGGTATTTAAGGAAAAATATTCCCTCTGTGAGAAAAAGAAAAACATCTAATCAACCAAAACATTAAAACCAAATTAATGTTTTATCCCATCATTTCTTCTGTGAATCATACCACTGAATGTCCGTAGCTCTCTTATCAGACACATTGCTGCTTTGCAGTACGTGCGTTATCACATATAGAAAATCAAGAGCTCAAATATTTTTCATTGTTTAAATGGCTTTTTTATTTGCTAAGGTGTTTATAACAAAAAAAGAAAATGTTTAAAAAAAAAAACAAAACCCATACTGCAAGTATTAGCCTTTTGCTGGTGATTTCTGTTCAGTGTAATGAAAAATTGTATTTGCAAAAGACTAACAATTTTGTTTGTATTGTTGCTTAACTACTTTTCTAAGGAAAAAATGCTATCAAATGCTGTAATTATGCATTTCTAAAGAATCAAATAAATGTGTATTTATGAACAGTGTAGTTTCCCTCTCCCCACAGCCCCCCATTGTATATCCTTAGGTGAGAACACATTTTATGTTGGCTATTTTTATAACACTATAGCTGTGAAATATTTATAGATATCTGCTGTCTGTAGAGTCTGCTGATAGTCTAGTCTAGTACCAAATTCAGAGGTGAGTCTAAGTAAAGTCTACAGGAAGATGAGGTCTAGTCTTACTTTGGTCCCACCAAATAGGCATGACGCTGTCATTAGCCAAACCCCAGTCTATGGATTTGCAGTGGCATTCCATCATGGGAAAAGTTTGGTTTGTTCCAATGTGAAACTTTCTGAGCTTCAGAGTCTGCAAATTGCATCTTACCCACTAAATTTATGAAGCCATTTCAAACCAAACTTTATGAGGGTTCCTCAGAATTTTTCTCCCTGGAGTGACTCCCAACTCCTGCCTCCAGTCCTGTGGGGAATGGTGCACTTTGTACTTTCTGTGAGCAATAGGTAAGTGGGTATGAGTTAAACCTGGTTAGATGATTCGTTGTCAAGAATTTAGGCTGGGATTAAGTAAATTGGAGTTGGTCACCCGACTCCTTTAGTCAATCCTCTTTGAAAGCCCAGCCTTATTCTGTTCATTTTTGCTCTTTTTATTGACTACATAGTTCCTGGATAGATGTTTTCTACTTAGGAATCTGTTCTGCTGCTGCCACATATGCGATATGAGGGTTGCTTTCTCGGGAGGTGTTGATCTAGTTATTTATTCCAATTACTTTATCTGTGTTGAGCCAGCTGAGTAGTGCCCTTTAGATTAAATCATTCTGTAAGATTTGTGATTCAGTAGTTCAGTAATGAGGTCTAATTTTGTAGTATTCATGATCTTGAAATCACTGATCTGTCTCTGTAAGAGACTTTCCTACATCCCTTTACATTCCTCTGGCACTCTGGGCTTACTCTGCTAAAAGGTTTCAAAAAATAGAGCAGGTCCACAGTTACCTCAAAGGCCCCCTCTCCACCTGTCCCACCCCTCCAGGAGTGAAATATTGACCCCATTGAAGTCAATGGGAGTTTTCCCACTGATTTCAACACAGCCAGGATTTCACCCCAGATGTGTTTATTTAGTAAGCTAATTTAAAGGGAAGAGATATTGTTTTCAGGACCATTATTGGCTAATAGAGAACAGACCTGCTTGTGCGTTTCAGCCAGTGAGAAAAGTATAGTTGTTTATTTTTGTAACTGAATAAGCTAGGTTCTTATTGACAGATAATATATTATATATCTATTAAAATGTTAGTGAATGAGACATAGCCACAAATTCTATTTGGCTTAACTTAGGAAAACATCCCTCCGGAGCTGTAGGCCTCAACACCCAAGATTTCTTGCAAATATTGTCCCTAAGTAAGTAATAAGTTTACTGTAAGTTCACACTTTTCATTAGGATATTTGCTGAGGCACAAGTACAATACATATTACCAGCCAGAATCTGTCAAAACTACATTTACAACAGGTTAAAGAATATGGCTACTAGCCAGTTTCTTTTTTAATAGTGCTTCCCAAACTGGGTGATGTTTAAATAACTTTGCATCCAAAGGGAAGCCTAAAAATACAGTGATTCCTGCATGTTTTAGAGTGGCTGTTTAATAAGAAAACACTATTTGGAAGTGACAGTGAAGAAGCTTGGGAAGGTGAAGCTGCTGGTTATTGAGGATAAAGCTACATAATCCTCCCTTACCATATTCCTGTTGGAGGTAAAACCTTCATGCTCTCCATCAGAAAGCGCTGCCTTTCCCCCCTGCTCTGAGACCTGAGGAGAACAACAAGTGCACATGCTGCATTGTGTAAACGCAACACATATGCATTTAAACCATAGTGTTCTCTCTCTCTCTCTCTGCATTTTGCAGCTAGAGTACAAGATGGAGCCGATGGCAAAGGCTTGGTGTCAAGTGATTTTTCATTAACCGTTTGAGCACTGCATGCTTTTGGCAGGAGAGGATGAAAGTGATGATAGCTGTGTGTGTGTGTGTGTAGATACCAGTGTGTATCTATATATATCAAAGAAGAACTAGATAAATTCATGGAGAGTAGGTCCATTAATGGCTATTAGCCAGGATGGGCAGGGACGGTGCCCCTACCCTCTGTTTGCCAGAAGCTGGAAATGGGCGACGGGATGGATCACTTGATGATTACCTGCTCTGTTCATTCCCTCTGGGGCACCTGGCATTGGCTGCTGTCTGATCAGGGTGAGTGCAAATCACTTAAAATAAATAGGAAAAGAATATTAAGGTTCTCTTATGGATTCAGATATTTAGATTGTGCACTCCTAGAGGCAGGGACTATATCTTCCTCTGTGTTTGGCTAACACGTAACACATTGTAGGCAGTATCACAGTATAAATAATAGTACTTCAGAGAACAAGGGCATCAGTGCTGGATCAGGTTTCAGAGTAGCAGCCGTGTTAGTCTGTGTCCGCAAAAAGAAAAGGAGGACTTGTGGCTCCTTACAGACTAACCAATTTATTTGAGCATGAAGTGAGCTGTAGCTCAGGAAAGCTTATGCTCAAATAAATTGGTTAGTCTCTAAGGTGCCACAATCCTCCTTTTCATAGTGCTGGATCAGATGCTTCTGTTGGTTGTTCCCCTTCCCCCAGCCTCTGTCTTTAGATTAGCAGGTCGTTGAGGAAGGGCCATCTTTTCTTGAATGTCTAGAAAGCAGCTGGTTCATTGTGGGCCCTACCATATACAAATAATACTAGTCCTGCATAGGAGGACATAGGATTCAATTCTAAACTGATTTCCCCTCCAATGGACCCCTGCATCTGTAAAGAGCTGCAATGGGCCTCTGTGCCGGTGCAGTGGTCTGTCCGTGTAGAGTTCATTGCAGGATTGGGGCCACAGTGATCAAAAACTCTGTTCCAGAGTAACAGCCGTGTTAGTCTGTATTCGCAAAAAGAAAAGGAGTACTTGTGGCACCTTAGAGACTAACCAATTTATTTGAGCATGAGCTTTCGTGAGCTACAGCTCACTTCATCGGATGCATACCGTGGAAACTGCAGCAGACTTTATATATACACAGAGAATATGAAACAATACCTCCTCCCACCCCACTGTCCTGCTGGTAATAGCTTATCTAAAGTGATCATCAGGTGGACCATTTCCAGCACAAATCCAGGTTTTCTCACCCTCCAGCCCCCCACACAAATTCACTCTCCTGCTGGTGCTAGCCCATCCAAAGTGACAACTCTGTACATAATCAAGTCGGGCTATTTCCTGCACAAATCGAGGTTTTCTCACATCCCCCCCACCCCCATACACACACAAACTCACTCTCCTGCTGGTAATAGCTCATCTAAACTGACCACTCTCCAAGTTTAAATCCAAGTTAAACCAGAACATCTGGGGGGGGGGGGGTAGGAAAAAACAAGAGGAAACAGGCTACCTTGCATAATGACTTAGCCACTCCCAGTCTCTATTTAAGCCTAAATTAATAGTATCCAATTTGCAAATGAATTCCAATTCAGCAGTTTCTCGCTGGAGTCTGGATTTGAAGTTTTTTTGTTTTAAGATAGCGACCTTCATGTCTGTGATTGCGTGACCAGAGAGATTGAAGTGTTCTCCGACTGGTTTATGAATGTTATAATTCTTGACATCTGATTTGTGTCCATTTATTCTTTTACGTAGAGACTGTCCAGTTTGACCAATGTACATGGCAGAGGGGCATTGCTGGCACATGATGGCATATATCACATTGGTGGATGTGCAGGTGAACGAGCCTCTGATAGTGTGGCTGATGTTATTATGCCCTGTGATGGTGTCCCCTGAATAGATATGTGGGCACAATTGGCAACGGGCTTTGTTGCAAGGATAAGTTCCTGGGTTAGTGGTTCTGTTGTGTGGTATGTGGTTGTTGGTGAGTATTTGCTTCAGGTTGCGGGGCTGTCTGTAGGCAAGGACTGGCCTGTCTCCCAAGACTTGTGAGAGTGTTGGGTCATCCTTTAGGATAGGTTGTAGATCCTTAATAATGCGTTGGAGGGGTTTTAGTTGGGGGCTGAAGGTGACGGCTAGTGGCGTTCTGTTATTTTCTTTGTTAGGCCTGTCCTGTAGTAGGTAACTTCTGGGAACTCTTCTGGCTCTATCAATCTGTTTCTTTACTTCTGCAGGTGGGTATTGTAGTTGTAAGAAAGCTTGACAGAGATCTTGTAGGTGTTTGTCTCTGTCTGAGGGGTTGGAGCAAATGCGGTTGTATCGCAGAGCTTGGCTGTAGACGATGGATCGTGTGGTGTGGTCAGGGTGAAAGCTGGAGGCATGCAGGTAGGAATAGCGGTCAGTAGGTTTCCGGTATAGGGTGGTGTTTATGTGGCCATTGTTTATTAGCACTGTAGTGTCCAGGAAGTGGATCTCTTGTGTGGACTGGACCAGGCTGAGGTTGGTGGTGGGATGGAAATTGTTGAAATCATGGTGGAATTCCTCAAGGGCTTCTTTTCCATGGGTCCAGATGATGAAGATGTCATCAATATAGCGCAAGTAGAGTAGGGGCTTTAGGGGACGAGAGCTGAGGAAGCGTTGTTCTAAATCAGCCATAAAAATGTTGGCATACTGTGGGGCCATGCGGGTACCCATAGCAGTGCCGCTGATCTGAAGGTATACATTGTCCCCAAATGTGAAATAGTTATGGGTAAGGACAAAGTCACAAAGTTCAGCCACCAGGTTAGCCGTGACATTATCGGGGATAGTGTTCCTGACGGCTTGTAGTCCATCTTTGTGTGGAATGTTGGTGTAGAGGGCTTCTACATCCATGGTAGCCAGGATGGTGTTATCAGGAAGATCACCGATGGATTGAAGTTTCCTCAGGAAGTCAGTGGTGTCTCGAAGGTAGCTGGGAGTGCTGGTAGCGTAGGGCCTGAGGAGGGAGTCTACATAGCCAGACAATCCTGCTGTCAGGGTGCCAATGCCTGAGATGATAGGACGCCCAGGATTTCCAGGTTTATGGATCTTGGGTAGTAGATAGAATATCCCAGGTCGGGGTTCCAGGGG